TTTTCCTTCCTTTTTGTAAATAAAAAATTAAAATCTTTTTAATGTAAATGGGTGGTTCTTCTGCTTCTGAGTCTGTGCACCGTGTGTGTGCAGTGCTTACAGAGGCCGGAAGAGAGCATTGGATCCCTCAGACTTGAAGTGGTAGGCTGGTATGAGCTGCCATGTGAGTTCTGGGAACTGACCTCTGGTCCTCTGCAAGAACAACCAGTGCTCTTAACCACTCAGTCATTTCTGTAGCCCTTAGTATCTCCCTTCTTCTCTCCCTCCCTCTGTCTGTTCCTGTCCCTCTCCCTCCCTCCCTCTGCTCCACCCCCCACCCCCGTGTGTGTGTGTGTGTGTGTGTGTGTTTATACCATGCAAACCATGCAAATGCAGTGCCTACAGAGTTCAGAATAGAGCACTGAATCCCCTGAAGTTGGAGTTAAAGGTAGTTGTGAGACCTCCAATGTGGGTGCCAGGAATTGAACTCAGGTTCTTGGAAAGAGCAACAAACATTCTTAACCCTGGGCCATGTTTCCTGTTCTGCTCCTTGTTGCGGTAGATATTTAAAACAGAGGCCCCCATCTGTCTTGTGTTACCGCATCTGAAGTGTCTGAAGACAGCAACAGTGTACTCACATACATAAAATAAATAAGTCCTTAAAAAAAGAAAGAAAGGAAGGAAGGAAGGAAGGAAGGAAGGAAGGAAGGAAGGAAGGAAGGAAGGAAAGAAGGAAGGAAGGAAGAAAAGTGAGCAAGCCAAGAGGAGCAAGCTAGTAAGCAGTGTTCCCTGTGGCTTCTGCTTCAGTTCCTGCCTTGCAGTCCTGTCATGAATTCCTTGGATGAACTGTGGATGTGGAAGTGGAAGTTAAATAAGCTCTTTCCTTTTCAAGTTGCTTTTGGTCATGGTCTTTATCAGAGCAGTAGAAACCCTGACTAAGATAAAAGCTCATACCAGGAGTGGGGTTGTGATGTAGCAGACCAGACCATGTTTTGGGAAGAACTGTGGAAGGACTTTGGAACTTTGGATTAGAAAAGCCATTGAGTGTTCAGAGTTCAGTGAGCTATTGTAAGGATGAGAAGGCCATGCTGAGTGCACTGCAGACAATGGGGGCCTGGCTTGTGAAACCTCAGGTGGAAGTCTGAGGGTCCCTTAGAGACTCTATTGGGGTTGTTTGATATTTCGAATTAAGACTCTGTGGTTCCAGTCAGATGGGGGTGAGGCTGTGATTAACAAGAGATCAGAAACACTAAAGGGAAACCTTTGGTTTGCTGGGACAATTGATGTAATCAGTTAGGGCTGAAGAATCAGCTGTGGTTGAGAAGAGACCTGTATCATTCAGGTGAAATTTAGGAAATGTTTCCTCAGAGTCAGCAAACAAAAGCTGTAGTTCAGAGAGGGTCACAGCTGTGTCTTGTGCAGGCAGACAAACTTGGTAACGTGTGAGAGTCTCTCAGGTGGTATTGGTTTTGAAGGCATGAAGAGATTATGGAGGGCAGATAAGGTTTGGTGTAGTGTGGCAAGACCAGAGTCCTTTAAAAGAGGCCATTGGTGAGGGTGCAGCTCTAGTTTGCAGTAGAAGCTCCAATACTGGAGGAGTCAGGGAGAGAAGTTGAGGCTTGGCACAGTGTGGCTGGGTCAGAGTCACTGAAGAGAGCCCAGGCTGTTTATTGGTGAAGGTGAAGTTGCAGTAGATCCCCAAGCATTGTGGAAATGCCAGTACCATGGGCATCCTACGGACAGCAGAGTCAGAGAGGTGGAGCTGCCCAAGCCCTTTGGAGGCAGAAGTGAGCCCCATATATCCAACACTGAGCTTGACACTGTTGAACTCTGGTTCTGCTTTCATTTAATTGTGACTGTGTTCTAGTTCTTCCTTTTGTGAGTAAGAAAGTATTTAAACTTTAAAGAAAAAAAACAAAACAAAACAGGAGTTTGGGGGCTGGAGAGATGGCTCAGTGGTTAAGAGCACTGACTACTCTTCTAGAGGTCATGAGTTCAATTCCCAGCACCCACATGATGGCTCACAACCATTGATAATGGAATCTATTGTCCTCTTCTGGTGTTTCTGAAGACAGCTACAGTGTACTCATACACATTCAAAAGAATAAATCTAAAAAAAATATTTTTTTTTAGAAAGAATCCATAGTTAAGAAACTTTGGTGTGTTAGAGAGAAATTGAGCATTTTTGAGAAGACTGAACTTTTAAAGTGTTTGAATTTTTAAAGACTATGGAGCTTTTATATTGAAATTTCAAGTTGGAATGTTTTATATTGCTACGGTGGTATTAATATGAGATCTTAAAGACAAACAATCATGATGTGTCAAGTTGATAATGGCCACTCTCTGGAGGATGAAGAGACAACACAGTGGTTAAGTGCTCCTGTCGTTCTTGAAAAGGACCCCAGCTCAGTTCTCAGCACCTACACAGAGGAGTGTAAATCACCTGTAACTCCAGCTCTGGAAATCCAACACCTACGGTCTCTTTGGTGTCTGTAGGTACCTGCATGAGTTCGTACATCCTGACCTCATACACATAATAAACAAACAAACAAACAAACAAATCAGTCAGATGTGCTTAATCCCAGTACTCAGGAAACATATGCAGGTAGATCTCTGTGAGTTCAAGCAGCCTGGTCTACGTAGCCAGTTCTAAGCCACACAAGGATTCACAGTAGAGCCTGTCTGAAATAAAATAAATATTTTTAAATTGCATACACATTTTCTCCAAGAAGGAGTGATGCTCATGAAACTCTAAAAGTAAACAAATGTCATATGTCTGGGAAAGTAAAAATTCCCAAGATACACAAGATCGGTCTCCAAGGTTCTAAAAACAGCAACAGTGGCCAGAGTGGGGATTTTTCCACCCATCCAATTGCCTGCGAGCTATGTGTAGGGGTGGGTGAGCCCCAGAGATGCAGCCTTTGTGAGTCCCAGCTCGGCAGGATGGGGCTTTGACACCAGGCAACTGTCTTTGGGTTGCCTCTGCTCATGTAAGGAGTCTCCCCAGAAATTCACCGAGTTACCAAGCTGGACTGTGGTGTAGTTGTTGTTGTTCATTTCTTCCCCTCCCCTTCCACCTCTCCCTTCCCTTCCTGTCACTGTCTTTCCCTCCTTCCTTTCCTGTCTGTCTCTCTCTTTCCATCCCTTCCTCCTTCACTCCCTCCCTCCCTGTCTCTGTCTCTCTATCTCTCTCCCTCTCCTTTCTTCCCTTTCTCCCTCCCTGTCTCAGTCTCTTTCTCTGTCTCTCTATATCTCTCTACCTCTCCCTCTTTCTTCCTCACTCCCTTTCTCTCTCTCTCCCTTTTTTCTTATCTCTGTCTCTCTTCCTTTCCTCCCTCCCTCCTCTCTCTCCTTCCCTGTCTCTATTTCTCTCTTCTCCTTTTCTCCCTCCCTCCCTCCTGCCCTCCATCCTCCCTGTATCTTTTGACCCACTGAACTTTGAGAAGGCAGCACTGACTTCACAGCCTCCTTACAGGATAGTTGACGTCCCCTAAAGTGTGAGCCAAAATAAAGTCATCGCTAGAGGGGCTTACACCACCTAGTCTGTTGGAGCAAACAGAAAACGCATAGATAAACACAAATGGCCTCGAAGTATAGCTATTAACTTAAAACATATGAATGCTGCTGTATGGATTGATTTATTAAAATTTACTTATTTTTATGTGTGCGTGTGTTGTGTGTATGTGTATTTGTGTGCCATGTGTATGCAGTGCCCACAGCAACTAGAAGACAGAACCTGACCCACTGAATTGGAGGTACAGATAACAATCTGTACCTCCACCATGTGAGCCTCCATGTGGGTGCCGGGAAGTGAATCCAAGTCTTCTGCAAGAGCAGCCAGGAATCTTAACTGCCAAGCCATCTCCCTAGTCCTTTGACTTTACTTTTAAAATTGTTTCATCATAAATTTATGTCTCTTAAATTTTAACAATGGTTGATTTTATCAACCAGCTCTTAAAATACCTGAAGCGTCTCCAGTTGTCTCCCTAAGTCTTAGTGGACACTGACATCCAGCGCTGGTTAAGTGGCCTCTTTAATCACAGGGACTTTACATGACTCTATGATGTTTGCTATTACATGTGGGCTGCCCACTGCCAACATGTAGGTTGTACAAGCAGGGCTTTAGAGTGGACTTTTGACCATGTCTTCTGCATCAACTAGGTCAAGGATTGCTGCATAGTAGGTGTCCAGTACTACCTGAGAGAAAGTAAGAAAAGGAGATGCATAGTGGAGCAGTCTTGTGAAAGTTAGGGGTGCTTGCAGGAGGTCAGCAAAACATGCTACCTCTGGATAATACTCATGGTTCTGTGTCTAAAGGAGGAGGTCTGGGCCTGGACTCCTGCTCTGAGTCTAGTTTCAGGTCTGGATTCCAGTTCTGACACAGGAGGTCTGGAGCACTGGGTCTGAAGAAGAAGAAATAGAGTCTGGATCCATGGATCTGAGGGAGGAGGCCTGGGTCTCAATCCCTATGTGTGAGAGACGGGGGCTGGAGCTGGAACCCTGCCATTCAAGGTCGTTTGTGTCCTGCCTCTGTGGGGATTGGAGTCAGGGATGCAGGTTGGAGATGAGCATGCAAAATGAGAGATTGACTTTGCTGGGACTTGAACTCAGCTGCCCTTCTCACTCTGATTAGCAGAAGGAAGACTCTCTGTGTGCAAAGTTCGCAAGGATGAGGCAGCTCAGAGGTGGGGAACCTAACCACAGATGGATGGATTGTGATGGGCACACTTGAGGGACGAGTCTGGTGCCTGAGTCAGCCACTTTTCACAGCACACGGTGCTCATGGAAATAGACTAATGAAGAAAGCACAGGGAAAATGTGAGATGTTATTTTTATTTATTTGGATTTTAAAGACAGTAAGAGTTTTGGAAGCAGACTTCTTTGGATGAGGATATTGATCCAGAGCATTTGTACTCCAGCCTCTGGGCTCAGTGAGTCTCAAACTGTGACAACAAGCTGTGAGAAGGATTCCAGAGCCAAGTCCCTGAGAAGGAAGGTGGAGCCTGGAATAAGGGCAAGGATATTGGATCTGAGGAAGGAAGCTAGGGCCTGGAGGCTTGGGTCTGAAGGAGGAGCCTGGGGTGTGGGAGCCTGGGTCTGAAGGAAGAGGCTAGGAGCAGGAGTCTTAAGTGTGAAGAAGGAGGGCTAAAGAGGACTCTATTGTCTTCGGGAGGACTCAAATGTCTGATGGAGGAGGCTGGGAAAGCACAGAAACAGCTGGTGATGATCAGATGGTGATGAATGATCAGTTGCTTTGTATTGTCCTCTGGATCCAGCTGTGGTAATTGCACAGGTTGGTGTAAACTCCTGGGTAGCCAGGCATAGCACAACGTTCCATTCCCCAGGACACGAGACCCTGGAGTTGTCCCCCACATACCAGAGGTCCCCCAGAATCACCCTGTGAAGAGGAGGAATGGGAATAGAATCAGCCACAGGAGTAAGCATCTGAGACAATAGCCCCCCTCACCTCTGACTCCAGCCTCAGGCAGGGGCAGAGCTCCCCTCTGCAACAACCCCACCCAGTCTCCGTCTGTGGATCTGACATGGCCCCTCTCTCTCGGCTGACTCTGTGTCTCTTCATATACCCTATCTCTATCTAAGAAGTTTATCTTTATTTAACAGAAACTGAGGTATAGTAATAAAGTCTAAAGGGTCTGAGTTATTCCTGTATCTCTGTGCCCTGAGTTCTCTCAACTATATCCTCTGACTTTTCTGTTACTGAGACAGAGTGGTATCCAAAACCTAGCTCCAATTGTCCCACAATGGGATCTGAGCCTCACCTGACAGGAGTCCTTCCCACCTTCAGGGACCCCGGCACAGATCATGCCAGATGTTATGGCTCCAGGGTAGGCTCGCTGGCATACTTGCTCCGACATGATGTTGACATTCACACACTGCAGAGCAGTGGGGTACCTGGCTGATGGGATGGGGGATACAGAAGGGTCACAACTAGAGTACTATGGACCCAGGAGCCCAGCATCAGCCTCCTCCCTCAGACCCAGAAGTCCAGCTTTGTATTTTCAAGGCGGCGGCTTCTTACCAATGGGACTGGCTATGGTCCCCCAGCCTGACACTCGGCAGGGAGTCCCTGGGCTGGCACAGGAGCTGGCCACAGAGATGGTCTTCACTGCTCGTCCCAGTCGCACCTTTCTCTGTAGTTTCAGCAACATGAGGTCATTGTTATGGGCCTGGGATTGGTACTGGGGATGTGGCACCTGGCGAATCACACGCACCACCTGCTGAGTCGCTTCCCACTTTCTTATGTTGTGCTTGCCCAGGGCTACATGAAGAATCCTGTCCCATAAATACAAAGAGTAAATGCTGCTTAAAATCTGACCACAGACCATGTTCCGGCCCCATTTTCTTCCGTGGTGATGAGTTTCCCTCAAAGTCTAACCTGTGTCCCTCTAATTGTGGGCTGAGTATTTTGTGGCCTCTTGTATTCTTCCTTTCTTCACGGCCTGCACATTCTTTCTTTACCCAACCTCATTTGATGTCCCTTCCTTTTGAGGGATATACTCAAGGGCCGTTTGAAGTTCTTGACTCAGTTCCTGAGTCCTTGACTCAGTTTCCTGAGTCCTTGAAGGTTTCTCAGAGGATTATATCTCCAGACTCTAAATCAGAGTTGATATTCTAGGGAAAACACCATTCTCATCTCTGGTTTAGACATTTTCTAGGCAAAAGTCAGGGTTCTAGATTTAGTCTAGATTATAGTATAATTTCTGGATTCAGATGTGAGCCTAATGTTTCAGCATAAGCTATGGGTTCTGCTTTTAGCTCTGTATTGCAGATTGAATTTGAGTTCTAGGTGTCAGTATAGGTTCTCATTTCTAGAATAATCCTGGGTTCCACTTTGAACAGTTATTTATGATATTAGCAGACTGATTCTCGATTCTGGACACTGGTGAGAGCTCATGTCTAGGTAAGGCTCTGGGTTCTAGACTAACTTTCGTTTATGAGCTGGGTTCTAGACAATGGTCTTAAGTTCTGGGCTCTGGTTAGGCTCAAGTTTCTAAATATTCATCTGAGATTATAATCTAGACAAAGCTGTCTCAAGTTGCTTAACAGGTGATAATTCTAGACTCTGCTCTGCGTCCTCAGCAGTGAAACTTTAGGTTCTAGACTAAGCTATACATTATGACCTATATAAGGAAATAGAATCTGGTTTTCATCCTTGGCTCTATATTCTGCTAGACTCTGTTCTGCTCTCAAGTCTCTGGGTTCTAAGTTAAATTTTCATTTTTGGCAGTCACATAGGTCACAGTCATGGTATGAGCTATAGCCTTGACTTTCACTTCAAGGCTGAGATCTGAGCTCTAAATTCTGGTTGCAAATCAGGGAGGAGCTGGGTTCTAAATCACAAATTATGGTCCGTATTCTAGGATTCAAACTCTAGGATGGAGTCAGAGTTCTAGGATGCTCAAAGACAATCTGGTAACTAGACTCAGAGATCAAACATAGATCTAGAACAAGTTTCAGGTCCAGACTATTCTCCTCTGTGTGGGGTGTGCATGCAATGGCACACACATGTAAGCCTGAAGCCAATCACCTTGTTTGAGTTAGGGTATCTCTTGTTATTCAGTTATGCATCTTCCAGGATAGCTGGCCCACATGCTTGAAGAAATTCTTCTGATTCTTAACCTCTCTATAGGAATGTTGTGATTACAGACATGAATATTACTACATCTAGCTTTTAGGTGAGGTCTGAGGATTCCAATTCAAGTTGACAAGCTTGTATAGTAAACACTTTACCCACTGAATCATGTCCCTTGACCCTGACTATTCTTACAGTTGTGTGTTCTAGATGCAAAAATAATTTCCAGACTCTTATCTAGGTCATGTGCTTAGAACTGGGATCTGGGTTCCTGGTATGTTCTGAGTTTCTAAATGTAGATTGCATACCAGTCTAGAATGGGCCATTGCTGGTCCTGATGTGGCAGTTGGTAACTGGATGAATATACAAGTTTGTGACTTAGATTCTAAATCAACTGACTGGCTTTGTTATCTAAGCACAGTTCTAACTTGATTAACTTGATGGCAAGGGCTCTATGCTCTGAATTATCCCTCTCAGCCTAGATCCTTTTCTAGTCTCCAAATCAGGACCTAGCCCCACACTGCATTCTAGATCCTTTTCTAGTCTCCACATCAGGACCTAGCCCCCACACTGCATTCTAGATCCTTTTCTAGTCTCCACATCAGGACCTAGCCCCCGCACTGCATTCTATACATGGATCTGGGTTTATAACTAATCTCTGGGACCCTGGGATCTGGAAATCATTGACTTAAGAACAAGGGTGATTACTCACGGGCGGGCACAGTGAGCAGCAGTGATGACCCACTGGTCTGACATCAGGACTCCACCACACAGGAAGCGACGCCCAGGTCCTGCTTGCAGAGCAACCTGCCACGGCTGGGAGTTCTGGACACATGTGTAGCCACCAATAATTTTATGATCTCCTTGGCTCTGGACTATGGCTATGGGGAGATGGGTTGGAGTGGGGAGGGGAAAGGAGATGAATGAATATCCTCTAATCTCCAGCGGTGTACAGTGTCCAGCAGACAGAGATCCTTCCATAGGGCTCAACACCTAAGCCAACCGCCTCTTTCTGCTCCACCAAGTGTGATGCACATTCAACACTGTCCCCAACAAAACAGGACTTTTCTGACCCCTCCCTCAATTGGCCTTCATGGTTTATGTTATGTGCCCACCTCAGCCAGGACCTGGCCACAGTGACAGCCTTTGACTCCACCCTCCCGTGACCACTTTATTTCCTTTAGGTTGAGACAAAGTCTCACTATGTTCCAGGCTGGCCCAGAACTTCCCACATTCTTCCTACATCAGACTCCCAAGTGCTAGCCATAAAGGCACACACCAGCACTTCTGGTTCCCACAATTATTTTTGGTTTTCCATGTTCATGTGGTATGCATATGTGTGTGTATAGATTTGCAAGTATGTGGGTACATGTATGCATGGGTGCATGTGTGTGTGAAGGTCTGAAGTTACGCTGGGAATCTTCCTTGATCACTTTTCCATGTTATTCATTGAAGCAGAGGCTCTCAAACTAATCTAGTGCCTGCCCTGATGGGTAATCTCACTAGCCAGCTTCCTTTGGGGAATCCCCTGTTTTGCCTTCCAACATTGGAATTAAAGGATATCCATTACAAATAGCTGTCATGTAGGCTCTGGGGATCTGAATTCTAGTCCTTATGGTTGAGTGGAGGTACTGTAACTGCTGAGCCAGCTCCCTGGCTCTCCAGTGCTCACCTCAGAGTGCCATATGCCACTTCAATCCTTCCTCAACCTCCTCCAAGGGGTTCCTGTGCCCTTCCAAACCCTCCTACTCAATTGGTCCCCAGAGTTGCTCTTTCCCCAAATTCCCCCCACACTTTCAAACTCCACTTTCATCTTCCTTGATATGACCAAAAACAGCCCCACAAGCCTCTTCAGATGGAGCCCTCTTGTGATGCCAGAGCTTTCTCTATCTTCTGTAGCTCCCTCTCTCTGGAATCCTATTTCTTGGTATCGCCAGACTTACAATGTGGGCATGAACTCCTGGTTAAGTGAGATACTCAGCATCAGTCCCAAGCTACCCCTTCCTCTGTGTGTGTATGCAATCACTCCCTGCTCAGTGTGTGCCCAACTACCTACTGCTCTGTGTGTGTAACCCTGTGACATCTGGTCTGCTTGAGTCCCAGTACAAGGCCTAGAGCTGAACATGCTGTGTGGAACCCAATATGAATTGTCACAGTGGGGCTGCTCCCCTGTGCCTCTGATCCTGAATCATCAGAGATTCTTTCTCGAAGCATAGTATGTCTCCACATTCATCTTACTCCTGGGCCTTCAGATCACTGGTAAATGAAGCCAAAGATTAACCTCAGGTGTCAGGTATCAGGCACCGTCCATCTTTGTTTTGAGACAATGTCTCTCGGTGGGTGGCCTAGAACTTGCGGACTAGTCCAGGCTGGTTGACCAGTGGTTGACAGATGCTCCTGTCTCTGCCTCCCCAGTGATAATTACAATGCCTCACTGCTTCCATTTTGTTTTAAAGGAGTGAGCTCCAGGGGATCAAACTCAAGTCCTTGTGCTTACAAGGCTGAGCCATCTCCCAGCCCCCTGGACTTTTTCTTACCAGGCTGTCCCCCAGAGCATACTGATACCCCAGAACACATCCTTAGAACATCTCAGAGTTTCCAGGGGAACATAGTGCTCTTACCTACAGCCAAGGCTTGGAGTATGGTCAGTAGAAGGAACATTCTGGAGCTGGAGGTCCAAGTCTAACAAATGCAGAGAGGAAGTGGAAGGGGGAAAATCAAAGGCAGAAATTAGGGGCAGTGAATATCACTCACACTGAGGTCCAGACCTTCAGTGACATGGAATCAGAACAGAAATGTAGAGGGCAGAGTTGGAGAGGATGGGGGGTCACAGAGTCCCCAGACTATGAAGAAAAGATGCCTACCAGGATCCAGTCACTCTGGCTCCTTGCAAGCTTGAAAGAGGGAGGAGTGGTGTCTCCTCCAGGACACGCCAGCAAAGCCTTTTATCCCTGGTCTGGGCAGCTGGCCCTGCCCCCAACCGCCCTTCTGCCTTTTGTTTTTATTGCTTAGTTTCCATTCCAAGATTTTTCTGCTCCCTTCCCTCCCATCTCTGACCAGAGAAGCAGACACAATTATTAATGGGAGCCTGCCTGGTGAAAGAAGCTATAATCTGGAAAGAATGGAGGGGAGGAGGGGAGGAGGGGTGGAGGGGAGGAGGGGAGGGGCTGGTCTTGGGCAGGGAGAGTGAGAGAGGTACTCAAAGAGAGGCAGAGGGGCAGAGGGGAAGAAAAGGAAAGGGAGAGGGAGAAAGAAGAAAGGGAGAGAGAAAAAGAGGGAGAGGGAGGGAGGGGGGATGGAGGGAGGGAGAGGGAGAGGGAAAGAGAGAGAGAGAAAGAGAGAGAGAGACAGAGAGAGAGAGAGAGAGAGAGAGAGAGAGAGAGAGAGAGAGAGAGAGGCAAAGACCCAGAAACCCAGAAAGAGAGGGACACAGACCCAGAGAATGTAGGAGAGGTGGAAGGTAAGTTTAGGTGAGCCTGTAGTAAGCTCTGGAGCTGGGGGTCCCATTGCAATCTGCCCCCTCTTGGTCCCACCCCCAGCCTTTTAAAAGTACCTAATGATTGTAATTTGTCCCTGGGCCTTCGCAGCCCCATTCCTGGACCACGCAGTGACTCAGCCTGTAGTGTCTCTCCTCACCCCACCTCACTTCTCAGTGAGTTTCCTCCCAGAGGAGCTCCTTTATGCCTGTCTCTCAGGGATAGTGCTTCTCCGGGGCCCATCTCCACACCTGTGGAAATCCACATGTTTGGCTTTCCTTGAACTATTTCTACTAACTGGGGGCTTCATTTGCTAGTTGATCTGAAGGCCCAGGAGTAAGATACATGTGGAGACATACTATGGACCAGGAGTAAGATACATGTGGAGACATACTATGTGCTTCAAAAAAAAAAATCTCTGATGATTCAGGATCAGAGGCACAGGGGAGCAACCCCACCATGACAATTCATGTTGGGTTCATCGCTAGGCCTTGTACTGAGAGATTCAGGTACACCAGATATCACCATTGGGGTGCTTCAGGGAAAGGAATGTGGGTTTCTCCTCCGTGCCTGTGAAACTAAGGCTGAGTATGTAATCATCTCCATTAAAACTGTAAGACACAATAAAATTCCTTTTCCTCAGAAGAATACCTTCAATGGTAGTTATTGTGTCTCACGACTGTAATCTCAGCACTTAAGAGGCTGAGGCAGGAGGATTGCCATGAGTTGATGGCATTTTGGGTAATATAGTTTCAGGCCAGAAGAAGAAGAGGAGGGAGACCAGGAAGAAAAGGAGAAAGAAGAGGAGGAAGAGGAGGAACAGAAGAAAAAGAGACAATCAAGAGGCCATGGTGCCCACAGGGCTCCTGGCAAAAGGTTGGGGAATGAAGCCATGAAAGAGAGAAGTTGCCATGACCTGCCAACCCATCACAGCCTTGTCACAGACAGCATCTTCTTCCCAGATTCTCAACTCCCTAGGCTGGCACTCAACCTGCTCAGCATCATTTTGACTTCCAAGGCATGATTATTTAACAATTGCAATGAATGAATGAGTGAGTGAATGAATGAATGCATTAATGAACAAGTATATGGCCTCAGCGCTAAGCTCGCTGTCTGGTGAAACAGGTCAGTACAAAACTAAATCCTGTTAGAGCCCCCAGACATGAGGACCCAGTTCAAGAGTTCTGTAGATGAATAGGAGTTTGCCAGGGTGGTGAGTGACAGGAGGAAGTGCAGTGGAGACTGTCAACAGGAAGATGGCCCACAGAGGCCTGGAGAGAAGAGAAAGAGATGATCCACACTGCAGGGCTGAGGGGATGCGATGGCAGTGGGGCTCTTCCAAGGGAGTGTGAGGCACTTCAGCATGTTTGCTGGGAACTCTGGGAAGGTGTCTGGCTAGAGCCAGTGATGTGTCAGAGATTCCAGAGCATCTGCAATCCATCCATCAAGGAGAAAGGGCATCATGGAGACCCAAGGAAGCCCCCAGCCTTAGAGCGCAAGACGTGACCTGGGTGCTAGGAAGGAGCAGGAGGGCACCAGAAGGAGGACGAGAAAGATAGAAGTGTCCCAAGAGCTGACACACATAGTTATTTCAGTAATCTGTTGTATGGATATGTGTATCTGTGTATATGTATATGTGTATGTATATGTATGTATATGTGGTACAGGTGTGGAGTGTGCACACATCTAGGTACACATGCCTATGTGCAGGGGAGGCCAAAGGAGGGTGCCTGCTGTCCTGCTCTGTTCCCCTCTTTCTATGCCTTTGAGGCAGGGTCTCCTGCTGAGCCTGCTGCTAGGTTGGCAGCCATCGAGTGTCAGTGGTCTTTCTGTCCCCACCATCAAATTGCTAAGGTCACATGCTTACATGTGGTCAAACATGGCTTTTATATGTGGATAGTGGGAGTCTGAACTCAGATTCTCATGCTTAAGTAGCCAGCCATCTGCACAGAACCATCTCCCCTGACCCCTGAGCATCTTACCTGCAAGTACCACATGTGTTCCTGCTCACCACAGAGGCTAGAAGAGGGCTTTGGATCCCAGGGACTGGAATTACAGACAGTTGTGGGACACTGTGTGGTTGCTGGAAACTGAATCTGGGTCCTCTGTAAGAGCCATAAGTGCTCTTAACTGCTGAACCACCTCTCCAGCCCCAGCCCTGGATGCTTCTCAATAGGATAGTGGTCTCTGAGGACAGAGGACAGCAAAGAGATATCTTTGGAGATAAAGGGCTCTGGGGTGTGTTGTGTGGGGAGAGAATTGAGGAAGCCATGGTGGGGAAGAGGAAGGAACAAAGGCAGCAGTGTTGCCCTGAGTCTTTTTCCGTTTAACTGCTTTTCAGGACAGGTAAGTGGGACTAAGTGTATCCACACTGCTGTGCTCCATGAGTACCACCCAACTCACCCACAGGCTTCTCTCCCTTTTCTCTCTCCTCCTCCCCTTCCTTCTTCCCCTCTCCCTCCATCCCTTCCTTCCTGTATGTGATATATGCAGGTGTCAGTCTTCGTATGTGTTCACATATGTGTGTGAAGCCAGAGGTTGATGTTGGGTATCTTCCTCCATTGCTCTCCACCTTAAAAATTACATTTTTTTATTTCTCCCCCCTCTCTCAGTGTTTGTGTGTGTGTGTGTGTGTGTGTGTGTGTGTGTGTGTAGGTACATGTGTGCAATTCATAAGACAACTTAAAAGAGTTAATTATATCTTTCAACTATGTGGGACCTAGAGGTGGAACTCGGGTCCTCGGGTTTGGTAGTAAGTGCCTTCATCCACTGAGCAAACCTTGCCAGCCCCACCCCTGGTTTTAAAAGATGGGTTTCTATGTAGATCAGGTTTGTCTAGAACTCCTTTCTGCCTTCAGCCTCCAAAGTGCTAGAATTACAAGTGTCTTCTACCATGTCCAGCTTTCCCCAGCTATGTTCTTTTTATTTTTATCTCATGGGGTCTCATGTAGCCTAGGTTTGCCTCAAATTTGCTAAGTAGTAGAGGATGACCTTGAACATTCTGATGCTCTTGCCACCACTTCCTGAGTGCTGGGATGACAGGTGTGTACCACCATGCCTGGCATAGATGGTTCTGGGGATGGAGCCTGGGGATTTAGCATGCTAGACAAACACGTGCTAGAGAGGCCCTCAATCCAGTGAGCTAAGTCCTCAGCTCTCTAACTCTGTTCTCTATGTAAGCTAGCTTCTTCCCTCTCTCTCTCTCTCTGTTCTCCAACCTACCTTCCTTCCTCCTACCTCAGCACTTACAATTAATAGTTACTAAGCACCCAAGTATCAGGAGCACTGTAATAAACAAAACTGACCAAATAAGAAAAAAAAATCCTGCCTTGGATTCTGAAAGGAAAAAAAGAGTAAATAGTTGCAATGTGTAATTACAATAATATGTCATATAATTTTAGAGACTATATGAGAAAAAGCAGGGGCTGCAGTGATGGCTCAGAGATAAGAGGGAGCATTGCTCTTGCAGACACTGGATGTGGCTTCCAGCCACTTTACGCTGCTCAGAACTGCCAGGAAGGCTTCGAGGAATCCGAGGCCCACTCTGGCCTCTTGGGATGCTTTACTCATGTACACAAACAGACGTGCATGCCTACACATAATCAAACATAATAAAACAAATATTTTGTTAAAAATGGAAGCAGGATGTTTTGGGGTAGAAGGGTCTGGCACATGCAAGACCACAGGAAGGCCACTATATCTGGAAAAGAATGGAAACCCAAGGGGCGCCGTAGGAAGTCTGTAGACACTATCTTGTGTCAGGATTATAGATTGGGAAACTGAGGCTGGTTGAGAGGAAGTTGCAAGTTTACCTAGCTGAGAATTAAAGGAAGCAGTGTACAAAACCCACAGCTATCTTGAATCTTTCTTCTGGTCACCCCCAGGAAACTGCCAACGGCATCAGCACTCTGCTTATGTGACCAATGGGATTTCACGCGTGTTGAGCAAGTTAACTCGCTGGATCCTTCCCCTACCTGCGTGAGAACTGAAGCATCCTGCTGTCATTCTGACCCTCCATTGTACTACACAAGGAAGTCAAGATGAAGTCAGAGCTCACTTGCTCAGGGTTGCACAAAGCCATGTAGCCACATGGGGATCTGAACCTACATGAAGGGCTCTTCCCAACTGTAGTTGGGAAATATCAAGTGGACGGTACAGCCGGGTAAGTGGTGAGATTAACCCCAGATAAGAGGAAGGACGCCCATTCCTTTGTCCAGGGAAGGAAGAGGGAAGGGTGTGGTTCTCTGTGGGGCGTAGGTCAGGTGGCAGGAAGCGGAGGACATGCCTGTCTAAAGGCTTGGATGTTTTTTGTTTTGTTTTGTTTTGTTTTGGTTTGGTTTGTTTTGGTTTGGTTTGGTTTGGTTTGGTTTGGTTTGGTTTGGTTTGGTTTGGTTTGGTTTACTGAGAGAATTCACCCAGATCATCTTCAGGACCACACATGCTCAGATGAGGCAGGAAGTACTGGAAATGACTGGAAATTGATGCCCAGGTTCCTGCAAGGGCACTGTTTTGGCAAGTGGCCAAAACAAGGAAGCCAAGAAGGTACCTGCGTTGATGCTGAGCCAGGGGCGTTGAAGATGGTCAGGGATGATGTCGGGGATGAGGGAGGCGTTAAGACAGGAAGGCTTGGTGCTGAGACCTGCCTTGGGAGGGACAGGTGTTTGGGGACAGAAGAGCAGCTATGGGTGTGCATCTACAGCATCCCCAGAAATGTGCCTCAGAAGGGGAGTCCTTCCTAGAGGAGATAAGAGGCCCAGCTGGGCTATGGAAAAGGGAGTGGGGGGTGGGAGAGGCAGTCTGTGGCCATGGGAAGATTCCAGACCTCTAAAGTTGGCAGTACTTCCAGACTCTTGACCTTATGTTGACAGGTGCTGGGTTAGGTAGTATGTTAAGGACATACCTTGACCCCTGCATTTCCTCTGGGGGTCCAATAGACTCCTGATTGCTTGTTTGTTTGTTTGTTTGCTTGTGACAGTGTCTCAAGTACCCAGGTTGGTCTTGAACTCTCTACGCAGCTTGAACTTCTGCTCTTCCTGCCTCTACAGGTCTGATTTCTTTTAGAGGTGGGGGTAGGGACTCTCAATTCTCCTTACACATGTTGACACATATTTCACAGGTGAGGAGACAAATTTGAGTCCTAGCCCTCCTGACTCAATGTCCCTCTCTGGCTCTAGAACTCATGTGGCTCTCTGATTACTCAGACTCGTTCTGGCAGAGGAAGTATCTATGGAATCCAAAAGAGGGTATTGGATGTCCTGGAACTGTGGTTACAGGTGGTTGTATGCTGCTTGAGGTGGTTGCTGGGAACTGAACTTCAGTCCTCTGGAAGAGCAATACGTGCTCTTAATCACTGGGCCATCTTTACAGCTCCATCTCTAGATAGTCAGCAGCTATCTGTAGCTGCTAATGCCTGCTAACACCGGGCGTCCTTCATGGTGGTGGACACCCTCTGATGCCTCTGGCTGTGCTATCTCCTATTTATTACTGATGAAGCTCCATGGCCCAGTAGAACCCAAACTATGTTTGTCTCCTCACAGCTTAGGTCAAAAGCTGGGGGTGGTCTCCAACTGCTGACCACATCCCTGTCTCCCAGCATTCTCTGTGTCGCAGCTATGATCTTAAAGCTCTAAACAGCCCCTTGTCAAAAGCTGCCTAACACCTAGCTAAGTCTTTGCTGGAATTATACTAAGTTCCAAACGCCCCAGGCACCAGCACCTCGATCTTCCTTACCCTCCACCGTTACATTCCCATCATGTCCCCTGCTCCAGACCCCTGTGCTTCCTTGATGTCCTCAACATGGATGGTCCCTTCACACCTCAGGGGCTTTGTCATTGCTGTTTCCTCTGCCTGGGACATGCTTGCTACCACCCTGCCCATGCCATCCCTCCAATCACCTTCTCTGAACTGTGTGTTCTCTTCTTGTCTCTGCCCTTCTCACACTGCGTGTGAGCATTTACCACTGTTGAATGTCCTTCATGGTTTTTATTATTTACTTTTTTATTCAGAATACAAGTCTGTCTCCAACAACTTGAGTGTCAGCTCTGATGAGGAAAGATGTTCAGCCACTAAACCCTCTGCCTCCTCCCTCATAGAAAGAAGGAATGTGTCTCTCAGAGGACTCACGAGGGCAGGGGCCTTTCCTACCCTGTCAACCAGTGAAGCTACAGTACTAATCTGGTGCCTGGTACATATGATGGTGTCACACAGGAGCAGGCTGAACGAGCGAGATTATCTTCAAACCTAATTCTAGGTGTGCTCATCATTTTTTTTTTCTCTTCAGACTTGAAATTTGTCTCATTACTCAGCTTTGAGACAGTATACAGCTGAAAACACAAATAAACAAACTGTGGAATAATAGCTAGAAAAGCCTAACAAAGTCAAGTCCCAGGGGAGAAGGCTTCTGAGTTCAGGGCATGAAATACCTACCACTGCATTAAAAAGGAAGACTGGATTCTCTGTGTTTCATGGGAGGATGGGGGGCAGGGGAGGTACAGGCTTCCTTCGGGATGCTCAGCTCTTCCCCCTGCCTCAGCAAGCCCCTGGTCTCTCCAACACCCTCCAGAATTTGCTAAGCCCACCTGAGTGGAAAATCTGTTCCCTCAGCTTATCAGGAGGGGTGTCTGTTGTATTTATATCATCTTTTAAGACTTATTTATTTTAAAGTGTGTGTGTGTGTGTGTGTGTGTGTGTGTGTGAGAGAGAGAGAGAGAGAGAGAGAGAGAGAGAGAGAGAGAAGCATGGGTGCCTTTAGAGACAGGAAGAGGGCATTAGACCTTGGAGCTGGAGTTACAGGATGTTGTCAACCAACTGGCACACCAAACTCAGGTCCTCTGCAAGGGCAGTGGTAGCATTTCGTCCAGAAAACACAACAGGCAGTACTTACTACTTGCTCTCAGTGGAAAAGATACCTCTCCAGCCCCTATTTACATAGTCTCTGAACTCACACAGGAGTTCTTTAACATTTTTAAAACACACCGGGTGTCAGTAGGATTCACAGTAGGATTCACAACAGGTTTAAGCCTTTGCACCTGTTCTCAGCATGACCCGACCACTCTCTCTCTAGTTCAGATCCTCAATCTGTGTGGAGGTCCCCATGGCCTCTCCCTCAGAACTCTTGGTATTCCTTACCATGTACCAAAAATTCATGTTTCTTCTGCTTCTACCTCCCCGGTGCTGGGATTAGGGTTGTGTGTACTAGCACACTCCATTTATATAGCGCCGGGGATGGAGACCAGGGCTTTGTGCACACTAAGCACACAACCTACCCACTGAACCACATGCCCAGCCTAGTCCTGTCTGGCTTGAGTCTTTCCTGGCAGGCCCTGTTCCCAGCTAGGGCAGTGTTCTGCCTCCTGCACCGGAAGCAATGCCTCCCACAAGGACAGGTGCCTCTTGGGTCCACCACCATCCTACCAGACACCACTTCCCTCTCTCATGCCTTTCCTGGCCTCAGTCTTACTCAGCTCCTGGGTCTTGGTTCAAACATCACCTCGGCATTCTATGACGTACCACACCAAGCTGGGCGCCCCACCTCTAGCCTCCCTTCTGAAGTCTCATAATGGCAATGGTGGCATGTAACCCTGGTCCTGACTCATCAGTGCCTGCGCCCGCTTCCTTCACCAGAGGGAGAGCCCACTGAGGGCAGGGATCAGAGCTGAGTCAGTTATTTCCTCAGCAGCCTAGGCTGACCCAGACTCTGAGAGATGTTAGGAAATGTCTGCAACCATGATTCTTATCATCCCCTGCTGGGAGAGCTTCAGGGCTTGCTTCTGCATCTCAACCCCTGACCCTCACACTCTCTCCTCTGTCACCTCTGTCCGGTCCACCAGTCTCAGATTCTAGGCTAGCCATTCCCTCTTCCAGGAACGCTTTCCAGCAGTCAGCCAACGACTGCATCACTTTGCATAGTTCTCTGCTGGAATTGGGCTGTCTCCCTTAGGCCATCACTTTTCTGCTTAAATAGACAGGACACAACCCTCACCGACACCTGTCAGTATGTTAACGTGGTATGCGCCTTCCTTCTTATTTCTTCTCTCTTTTTCTGGCCTCCCTCTATCTTCCCGGCCCCTTTCTTCTTACTCTCCAGCCTTTAGGCTCTGTCCTGAGCGGTTTCTGCAGTTAGCTGCAGTACAGTCTCATGCTCAGAGTCTGTGCAAGACAAGAACAGAAACATCTTTGTGGAAACTCTTCCGGTTCCAAGGCTCTCTAGATTTGGAGGCCAGTGCTGTCTGAGACTGGGCTGGAGATCCAGTTTTGGTGCGCAGATGTGGTCACAGCGCCCTCTTGTGGTCAAAGGTGAACACAGCCCTTTTCTCATACCAGAGGCCCAAGAACAGGGCAGAGTCGCACAGATGCTCCAGAAACAAGAGGCGCCCCGCTGTGCATGCATTTAGAAGCGGGTCCCCTGGCTTCCAGCTTAAGGACCTAGAGCCCCTGCTCCCTCGCTGAGTCACAATTATGTGAGCCTGAGCAAGTTACTTCACTGGGTTGCATGTTCATCTACCATAAACGAGTATTGACCAAGCTTTACTTTCATAGTACTGCACTAACCAGGTAGGAACGCCGTCTTGGCACGGGGCCAGCCCCACAAGCGGGAAAACTTGGAGTTGTGCAATCTGCCTAGAGAGTCTTCAGTTGCCCCCTAACCGCCCCCAGCCCCTCCTCTATTCCCCCAACCCTGTCCACAGCCACTTTTCCTCACAGCAGCCAAGGGATTTTTAGAGCGGTTATTGGATGGACCCGGAATAAAAGCACTCAGAGACTGGCCCTCGCTGTTAGAATAAAATTCAAGTCTTGATTCCACACACCTGGTCCCGCTGCAGATGCCTGGAAGAGATCAAGGTTATTCCTATGCCCTAGCTGCTGAATTGGCAGTTCCCTCCTTCAGAGGGAGCTCTTCCCCAAGATACTTTTGAGATTTGTCTCTCCCCTACCCGTCCCCGCCCCCCAACTTTCTTTATGTGGGTCGCTGCTCAAAAGTCACCTCCCAGAGGCCTTTCCTTCATGGTTTCTTCATCCTTCCCTCTATTCTATTTTTAACAAACAAACCTTTGTGCTGGGGATGTAGCTCAGAGATAGATTATGTAGAATCTCCCTGTAAGGGTGTGGCTCGGCATGTGAGGTCCTTAATTCAATCTCCAGCATTGAAAAAGAATAAAAACAAAAAGTGACAGTCACAATCACCCAATGTTATTTGTTTGCACCTTGTCCTCTTCCCCCAGGCTGTAAATGCGTGGAGGGGCTCCTGTCTCTGCCCATTGTAGCTTCCTGGCACCTGCAGGAGGACCAAAGGGATGCCCAATATTTGCTGAATGAATAACTGACCTGGTGCTTTATAAGCCCAGGGGAACCTGATGGAGGAAGGGCATCCACCTCTGTCTTTCAGCCCTATCTTAATTAGGAAAATAGGGACCTATTTTCAAGGAGCAAACAGGTCACTTCCATGAAGACAGGGCTTCCTTAGCCACAGAGGCTAAGGAGCACCCTCTGCACCTGGAGGTGGGACCTGACACCACCCAGTCTCTTCTTGGAGAAGTTTCCTCAGCCTCCCAACTTCCTAATATGGCAAGGCAGCAGCCAGAAGCCTGGAGCCCCCTGGTGGCCAATCCCAAGTATGCAGCGTCAAACTGGGTATGATCGGTCAACTACTTTGACAACGCGACTCTTATCTCCCAAGATGGGGGTGAAGGCAAGACAGGTCCATTTTCACAGTAGGAAATGGCACCGTAGAAAGGTTAAGGCAGAGACTCAGCACAAGTTCTATCTCTAGAGTTCAAGCTTGGGGTGCTCTCCTCACCCACAACAGATGCCAGGAGTGGGTAAGGCAGTCTAATATATACATAATGTGTGTGTATGTGTGTGTGTTTGAGTCTATTGTATATATTATACATATGGCAATCTATTATATATATTAATATATTAATATATTAATATTATATATAAGGTAAGTCACCCTATTATAGATAGGACTGGTGACAACCCTGTAGTCCCTTGAGGTTGCCATGGGGAAGAAATGAAAAGGTACATATAAGCACCCCAAAGCAAAGATGAAGTCCCCTGGAAAGCAATGTGTGTGTTGAAGACCCACATGTGGACACTCTTACTTTCCTATTGCTGCAATAAGTATGGCAATAAAACACCACAACCAGGGGCTGGAGAAATGGCTCAACGGTTAAGAGCACTGGCTGTTTGGAGGTCCTGAGTTCAATTCCCAGCAACCACATGGTGACTCACAACCATCTGTAATGGGATCCGGTGCCCTCTTCTGGTGTGTCTGAAGACAGCTACAGTGTACTCACATAAATAAAAAATAAGTAAATCTTTAAACAACAAAACAAAAAACAAACAAAAACAAAAAAAACAAAAAATCACTACAATCAAAACCATCTTGAGGAGAAAAGGTTTTATTACAACTTACATTTTAGGTCACACTCCATTACTGAGGGAAGTCAGAGCAGGTACTGAGGCAGAGGCCATGGAGGAACATTGCTACTGACTGGTTTCCTCAGCCTGCTTTCTTATAGCATCCAGGATCACCTGCCTAGGGACAGGACCGCCCACAGTGGGCTATGCCCTTTCCACATCAATCATCAATCAAGAAAATGCCCCACAGGTTTGCCTGTAGACCAATCTTATGGGAGCATTTTCTCAGATGATCCCAGCCTATGTAAAGTTGGCAAAAACAACAACAACAAACCCAAACAGCCAGCCAGGACACTGACCCAACAACCATGTGAAAACAACAAATTTGGTTTGGAATGTATCAGCTCAGCAGACCACTGGCTTCCAAAGACCCACAAGCTAAGAAAATCATCAGATAGGACCTAAGACCTGCAGAAGGGATTTCAGCTTGGCTGTAACCTGTCTACCTGAAGTTCACACAGACGTATTTGACCAATGTCTTGGTTAATGACTTTCTATTGTTCTAGGGCTGTAAATGTTTGTATAACTGTTCCCACTGCAGTATTTCTGGGGCAGCCTCAATTCACATACCTGACCATGGAAGGTCCTAACTGGTTCAGAATAAACTTTCTCAGATTCCCGTAGGTGCAAGAGCTGTGTCTGGATGAAAGGGGGATAGTGATGATTGTGAATATTCCTATTAATCATGTGACTTTGTTTACCTGACTTGGGAAAACAGAAAAGGAGGGCCGGGGTACTTGAGCCCACAGAGACCAACAGAGGTGTGCAGGAATGCATGGTTGTTGGTCCCTTCTCTCTTAGACCTGGTAGCCTGCCTGGGGCTCCCTATAGTTGTACAAGGTTCAGGCTGCTGTACAGGGCACATCCCTCCATGGGGTACAGTCACTCCACAGGGCTCAGGTTGCAGGGCACAGATCACTTTAAAGGTGTAGGTCGCTGTATGGTACAATAATCTGCAGGGCTCAAATGACTCTGCAGGGTACAGATACTCCACAGGGAAACAGGTCTGTCCGAGAGTGCAGTGCACTGAAGGGAAATCACTTCACAGTGTATAGATTACAGTTGCAGGGCACTGGGCAATGTACAGTGCACAACTCAGGTCACTCCGCCACGGGGCTCAGGTCACTCTGCGATACACAGGTAGCTCCTGCCCGGTCCCCTCCGTTCCAGCATGGGTTGGCTTCATCTTTGGGTTGCTTGCAGGTGCAGGGTCCTGGTGGGGCCACAGGGTTACTGGTGTCTCGGCTTGGGTTCCCAGGCTGTGGTGGCTCAACTTGCAGCACACGGCGGCCCTTGCCAATGGCCAGGCGCGGCAGGCCTCGGTTGAGGCCATCTAGGAGAGCACAGGCCTGGCAGAGCTTGTGGCTGGCCAGCGCTCCGCAGCGGGAGCAAGTGCCCGGAGGAGGGGGCCTTGCTGCGGGAGCCAGAGCTAGACGCTCTGCCGAGTGCACGAGGTCCAGCACGGCCGAGGGCCTGGCTGCCTCCAGGAGCTTAAGCAGGTCCCGAGCATGGCCACGGAAGGCCTCAGGGGCATACACACACTCCTCGGAGAAGTAGCGGAGGTGGCGGAAGTGGGCATATAGCACCACCTCCTTCTGTGAGGCAAACTGCAGAGGCCGGCACCGGGGAAGTGCGCACCCCTCGCCCGTGGAGCCCAGTACTCCACCCCTCGCCAGTCTCCCAGCATCACCACGCAGGAAGTTCATGAGCACGGTCTCAGCCATGTCGTCAGCGTTGTGGCCTGCGAGAGAAGAACTCAGGTGAAGGATGGGGACAAAGAAGAGAAGGTAAAAGGGTCTTGGCTCATTTCCTGGTTTGAAACTTTACCGAAATCCACCAATCCCTGAGCCAGAAAACCCACCAACTGGCTTGAAATTAAGCCAATCCCTACCGTAGAAATCTTCACCCTGAAACCGCCTCCCGTTAAATACTCTATATTAGCCTGTCCCCTGCTCAGTCCTCCGGGGCTTCTCACTGGAGTAGAGGCAGCCATCTCCCGTGTCACTTTCAACCAGTCTCTTCTGTGAGATTTATCGTGTGACTTTGTGGTATTCCTTGGCTCCCGACTGTCAGGATACCTTTCCCTTCAGAGCTGTAACATAGCACTTACAGCCTGCTGTTGTTCTTGCAAATGGCCAGGTGAGGCCAGCCAGGAGTGCACAGGCCTGGCATTTTTACATGAGGAGGAGGGGGCCCCCAAGAACCCCTGGATAACAGGGAAAGTGGAGAAGAGGCCGAGAACCACTGGAGCAGGAGATGAGAGGACCCTGTAGATACCCTCTAAGGAGAAAATGTAAAAGGGACCATAGAGACCCTGGAGCCTGGGAGAGTGGAGTGGGGGCGTTGGAACGCTCAGAACCCAGAGAAAAAAAGGAGGGAGTGGAAATTCTTGGGACCGTAAGAGAGGAGACCCCACCCCACTCTCTTGCACTTCCTTGCACTCTACTCTTCCGCATTATTCCTGCTGCGCACCAACGCTCACCTGTCACGATGTGTGTAGCTCCCACAAGGCGCGCACCTTCCTCCAGAGCGCGCCTCCGCAGCACCCCGCAGAAGGTGCAGCAGGAGCGACTGCGGCCAGAGCCTGCGGTGCTACGGGCCACGGCGTCCATCGTCCAGCCTCCGAAGAGATCTTCGTAGGCCACGATGGTGAGCGGCAGCTCCCATCGCGCCGCCTGACTGCGAACCGCCTCCAGCGCAGCGTCGCGGTAGCCGCCGATGCCCTCATCCACGGCCACTAGGTGCAGGGTGATTCCCAGGCGTGGCGCAAGCTCGCGCAGCACATGTGCCAGCACTGTGGAGTCCTTGCCACCAGAGGCACCCACGGCCACTACAGCGCCCGGCGGCAGCAGGTGCCCGGCAAGCACTGTATGCAGCACCTCAGCCTCAAAGGCAGCACAGAAGCAGGAGCCGCACAGCGCCTGCCCAGAGCGTGGGCGACGGAGGGCAGCACGGGTCTTGTGACAGGAGAAGCACGTCGGGGCGGGCATCTTGGAAAAGAAGTGGGTCGCCTGGGATGTCTACACTGTGGAGGAGAGAGAAGGGAGTCATCTGGGGCGTCTACACTGCAAGGTTGATGCGAGAGAAGAGGGGAGGGGACCACACAAGATACCCAGAAGGGAAGCTGATCATTCAGGATGTCTACGCTTTGGAGCTGAGGGGAGAAAGAAGTGGATCACACGGATAGTCTGTGTTGTGGTGAGGCTGTGGAGAGGGGAGCCCATGGGAAGGGCAGCTTCTTCCTATACCAAGAAAATAAGAACCTGATGACAGGGTTTCAGGGAGACAGGAGAAGACATGCAAGTGCACAGACAGAATGGGATTATGTCTGTTTTAGGAAATGGAGCAGAGTTTTGCGGTTACTCTTGCTACAGCCTTGATCATAGACAAATTCCAGGGCTGGCCAGAACCTAGAAGAGCTTGCTACTCAGAAGCAGAGGGCTACAGATGTTTGGATTTTAGTTGGGGAGGTAAGATACCTCAGAACCCGCATGAAGACCTGATTACTTCCCCTGGAAGGCATGGTACCCTCCTCCAGGCACGCAGAAGCTGCCCGCATCTCCTCCACGTCATCAGCTATAATGGACCAGTAAAACTCTCCAGGCTCAGGCCCCTCCCCCAGACCGCCTCATCTCCAGCTTGGACTATCTGGGAGCCTCTTGCCTTTCAGAACAGGTCAGGCTGTTCCTGGGATTTACCACAATGATCAGAATAATCTGGCAAGTATTTGTTTACTGTCAGGACCTTCCATGAGGACAGGACCAGGACCACTGAGGACTGTAAGCAGCATCTCAGCCCTGACATCACCTTCCACCAAATGGTGTCCTGCAGTGGGGCTCAGGTCTGCCCTTCCAGATGCTCAGACTAGAATCCCTGATGTCTAGGGCCACCCTGATCACTCATCCTGTGGGGGAGCCTCAAAACTTGACTTGTTCTCCAAATGTCCCTAGTCCATCCTCAGAACTCATGCTATGATCCCCTAAGAGCACAGCCAATACTTTTGTGGCCCCAGATGCAGACACTTCACACCTACTCCATAGCCAGCACTGTAGTAGAATTCTAGTAAATCACTGTATCTGGGGATAAACTTTAGAATGAAATGGCTGTCTTTCACTGTACCTAGAATAGTTGTTTTCTAGAAGTATTCTGATCTTGAAGAAGTCATTGCAGGAAACAGTGATCATTTTCTATTATCTGTCTTCTAAGGAGCTTTATGACCTTTGCATGACTTTGATTACAAAACAATCCTGGTACACACGCAATGTCCTGCATTATTGAGTACGGCAAATAGTCCACAAGAGGGACCAAAGTTGCAGGGGTGTGATGTTTCCTTCACAAAACATATATGAAAAACTTATTTTACATCCCCCCCAAAAACCCAACTTTTGTGGAAAAAAAAAGAGGCTACCCCCACCTAAATCTTCACATACTATTTAGCTATGCAAACTAAATTAATTTTTTTTCATTTTAAAGGAAAATTTCATTTTCATTTTCTGCCACCCAGAAGCATTTGTTCTAAAGGAGACACAACCTAGAGTAAACACTAAATAAAAAGAAAGAGCCCGACATTCACTTCATTGACGTTGGACCTCCCTGCTGCCTCAGAGCCTGATTACATTCTGTAGTGACCCTCTTTCTTTGATTGTCCTGCACAACTGAGAACACTGACACAGCCTGCTTGTCTGGGTCACTGGTCTCTGCCTTGACCTCCTCTCCTTCACTCTCCTTTATGCTGATTTGCATATAACAACCTGCAGATCCAGCCCAGTTATCTTTTTGACAGTTCTGTGAACAATGTTAGCACTTGCTTACTAACAGCCTAGGAGGCCCATGGCTCCTCCCGGAAATGCTCTCGAGTACCCCGGGAACACACCTTTCCTCTGGCCCAGTTCTTTCTGATCACTGAGCCTAACAAGCAGCCCTCAGGACTCTCTTATGTCTCATGGCTGAACACTGCCTCTTGAAATACATCCTCCTCAGCCGTTGAGTCTATCCATCCTCTTGCCTAGATTAGGTCCACACCAGTGTCTCACCACTTCTCCCCAAGTCCTGCCCAGCAAGCCTGAGAATCATCAGGCTCAGAGGTGCCTCCAAACGATCCACTTAGGATCCTAGCAGGGCACCTTTCAAGTGCTCCCCAAATCTGTCTCTTTTGCCTGGCTTATCTCTGTCTCCTGAGAGTACCCGCCACCTTCTACGCAGCATTTATGCAGACTGGTATGTAAATACACTCTCTGTTCTCAGCCATCTAATCCTGTAAGGGAGTTGCTGTTGTAAGGAGTAGCTTACAGGCACACACAGAAACAGAAAACCAGGAGAACACATCAGTAGCCCTGAGCTGATGGAGGGAACCAGGCTGATAGATACATCAGTAGTTTTTAGTTGATGGAGTGAACCGGACTTATGCTAAATTAAGTATAATAATTAAGTAAATATCTGGGATGATGAGGAAAGAATTGTGTACAGACAGGCTGCAAACCCCAGAGGTAATAGTAGGCGTGGTGGTGCACGCCTTTAATCCCAACACTAGGGAGGCACAGGCAGTTGAATTTCTCCAAGTTCCAGGCTAGCCTGATCCACAAAGCAAATTCCAGGGATGCCTCCGGGTGGCAAACTCTCCTAAAGGGCAGAAGAGTAGTCTCCAGAACACATTTAACAGGGGCAAGAGAAGGCAGATGATCTGTCACCACCAAATGAACAAAGCGGCCTGGCAAGAGACCCGACTAGGAGATCCTGGCCAGAACGCGAGTTGACAATCATAAAAGCGAGTGACAAATCCCTAGAAAGACTTTCAGCTCTCCCGTGACACTACGGTCCCAAGCACGTCGGACCCAGAGTAAGAGGAACACTAACCTGAGTGGAATGGGCTCTGCACTCTGCCGGCCACGCGGAAGCCTGGAGAAGGAAAAAAAAAAAATGCCGAGACTACAACTCCCATAAGGCCTTGTACTGCTTTGCCTATGACTTCCAGAATGCAACAGCTCTAGAGGAGAGCCTGTAACTTTACAGCAGCTTGGACTCCAATTCCCAGCAACACTTGAGAGTACGGCTTTCCTTCCGCCAAATGCCTCCAACAAACGCTGGACTCTGTAAGGCGCACGCCCGGGCTGTGGGGTCTGAGCTGCGAAAACTGCTGTTGTCCTGGCAACGCGAGGTCACCAGAAGGGATGCTTGAAATCAGAAGTGGTTGAAATCAGAGTGGCTGCATTATAATTTCCTAGTTTTGTGGATTTTCATAACGCTTCTGCTGCTTGCTTGCTTCTGTCTCTCATTGTTCCTCCCTCCCTCCCTCCCTCCCCCCTCCCTCCCTCCCTCCCCCCGCCCACCTGGGCTATCCTGGAGGAACTAGCTATATAGACCAGGCTGGCCTTGAACTCAGAGACCCACCTGCTTCTTCTGCCTCCAGAGTGCTAAGATAAAAGGTGCGTACAATCTCGCCCCTTTCTGTCTTCTCCCTTCCTCCTTTCCTCCCTTCCTCCCTTCCTTACTTCTTCCTTCCTCAGAAAGGTGGAAGGAGTCCAGGATGACACACAGCTTTGTAGCTAGTCTAATATTGTTGTCTTGTACTGTTTAAGGTCACTGGGAACCTGGCTCTGGAGGTGGAATTACTTGGCCCAGCCCGACTTTAAACCCAAGCATTTTGTCTTAAACGGTTCTCCAAGACCACTTGCTCAGTCACCAGCTGGCTCCCTAGTCCTGTGAAAAAGTGAAAGAGAACAGCCAAATAGCCTGAGAGTGGAAATGCTGTGTCCTTAAGACCAGGAGAGTAAGTTCTTAGAAGAAAGATAGTGTATCCTAGAATACAGATGAGATGGGAACCATTCCCAAGTATCTCTGCTACTTCTCATCCTATGATATCTGTGGTGGGAATGGCTAGTTGGGAGTCCATCTACCTGGGACCCACATCTTCAGGCAGATGCTCCTGCAGACTGTTGTGGTTCCCGGCTTCCCCGGTCTGTTTCTGCTGGATGTTTGTTACATGTGATCTGGTGTCCCATTATCTTTCTGCAGTTGGCTGTTTATGCCCTTGAGATGAAAAGCACTCCTATTGTGGATCATTCTCCAGTTTCAGACAGCTTTCTACCGCTGAACCACACTCCAGCCCCTCACTAGGGGATTCTAGGTAGGGACTCAATTAGTGAGCCACTCACTACCCAGGCCCCAACTGGGGAATTCTAGGCCATGCCCTAGCCCCTCTAGCATCTCCTTAGGGGATTCTAAGATGCTCTATTACTAAGCTATATATATTCTCAGCACCTCATTGGAGAGATTCTAGGCAGATGTTCTAACAGTGAGCCATAACCCAAACTCACTGTTGAAGTGAAGCACTCTACTACTGAGCTATAGCCCCTTAATGCACCCTTTCTATGCTTTTTTATTTTTAAACAGTGCCTCACCATGTGGCCAATGCAAACCTCAAACTTATAATCCTTGGCCTCGGTCCTCCAAGTAGCTGTAATTACAGTCCTGAGCTGGTCCAGGCTGGGCTCAGGTGGTTCTCAATCTTCCTAATGCTCTGTAACACAGCTCCTCATGTTATGGTGACCCCAGTCATAAAATTATTTTTGTTGTTACTTCATAACTATAATTTTGCTGCTCTTATGAATTGTTATGTAAGTATCTGTTTTCCAATGGTCTTAAGCAACCCCCGGGGAATGGGTCATTAGACCCCCAGAGGGTCACAGCCTACAGGATGAACC